AATAGCACAGGGAGAAAAGAATAAAACCTGAAACTAAAACCATTCCATATGGTTGCAATCAAAGTCTGTATGGCCTAATATAAATTTATGTGTACAGTATGGCAAACCAACAATAAAAGCTGTAACTACATCTTCAAAAGCTTTTTTCTTATAGCATCTAGCAACAGAATATTCCATAACATAAAGCACATTATTAAATATGGCTTATTGCTGCTTTCAAACCAGCTGCACGGCTTGCTTTTCATTAGTTTTCTTTTCATTATTTACTGTCACAGGATAATGTTACTTGTAGCAACACATATCTATCTATGGTCTTTTCATAGCAAATTGTTCAATACTTAGCAAGTCATAGATTAGAGCAAAGTTTTGAACAATTTATAAATTTACAATTATCCATATTACCTCTATATACTCTGTATGAACAGTGCATTCCTAAGACATAGTGTTCCTCACTACAAAACCCCTCACTATATCACTGTCCCATACATATAAATATGGACATGTATCCAATTAAACTGATTCCACAGGATACCACTATCCCTAGACAATACCAGTATAGACATCAATTAAACTGGTCCTCACAATAACCTGTGTGACTGATAACATAGGTATGGCCATGTATATAATTAAACTGGCTCCCTCTGTATACTATTGTCATCAGTATGGAATTCAATTAAACTGGTTTCTCAGAATGCTCTTATCCTTCAGACAACACTAGAGTAGTCACGAATCCAATTAAACTCATCCCCTACTGCAATTTTCACCAGAATACCTCCCTATCAATCTCAAGACATCAGGATGATCATGGATCCAATTAGGCTCAAATTTAGTTCTAAAAGTTGAAACTCAATTTCTTTCAAAGGCTTTAGTTCTCTAATACTAAGAACCAAATTAAATTTCTTGGGTTACATATAATTAAATACCAAACTTACTGGGGATCCCTGGCTGAGTCACACCAAGGACTTATAAGACTGGTACAAGCAGCTGTCTTGCTAGGTGCTAGCATTAAGAGGTTAGTGTTAGGACTGGTTGGCCTGGTGTCCTGATAATGTAAAATGTCACACTGCAGATGTCACATCGATATGATTGACATTTTTTTTAAAGCTATGTTAAAAATTCAAAGCACACACACAATCTCTCTCTCTCTCTCTCTCTCTCTCTCTCTCTCTCTCTCTCTCTCTCTCTCTCTCTCTCTCTCTCTCTCTCAGTGTGTTCACCAGATTCTTCTTCCACCAGATATAATGGTCTCCTATTATGTGCTGAAAACTTGCATTAAGCTTACAAACCACCATCTATTGAAATTTCATCTCATTAAATACCAAATTTGTCACTGTTACATATAATTCAATAGAAAATGTATGTGATTGCATGTCCCTGAATAAAATTAAAAACTTATTGTAATTCATATTAATTGCCAAAATTTCTCATTTGTGCCCAATTATAAGTGATGACAGAATGTTCCAAAATATAAGTTTATCTCACTTATAACAGTCTTTTCAATTGCTTATAAGAACAGTGCTATAAAGGGAAAAAATTAGTTATTAAAAATATATTTCACCAAAAGTCAAACTTTTTGTATTTTAAGAGATAAAGCATATATGACTTACAGTATAGTACCCCCACATTATAAGGTTGCATATGGAGGCCATTGAGAATATGGATTTGTTATCTTATAATGTAGTACACTATACATACATATTATATTATTAAATATTAAAATAGGATCCATTACCAAACATGCACATTGTATAACGTATGCAAATCTTAGTGCCCTATAATTTTTCATATAATTTCACACCACTGATCCATAACATATAAAGAAAACCTCTTATTCTGGGTACACATAAATTGTTCATCTTCAAATTTGAAAAAAGGGAAATAAGAAGTATATTTTCCCTTAAAGTTTCTGAAAATCTAAAAAAAAAAGTGAATGGAATAAAAATATAGATAAATATCAAGTGATATATTTTTTATAAATATATTCTAAATCGTAAATGATGTTCATCTCAAAGTTTGCTACAAAGGGTAATTTGGGCACCATTGTCTTCATAGTTTAAAAATACAATATATAGGCAAGGTTAGATGATGTGAAATGCCAAATGAATGATACAACTACATGGTAACATACTGAATTTCTACCAATTTCTAATTAATTTGTAAATTAATTTGTAACTGTTTTTCCAACAAATTTTTGCAATATAGCACATGTATCACCAACTCTTTGTAATAATAGTTCATGTACATGTACAGTATCACCATGTCTTAATATTAATCTTGCAATGTTTGTAATATTGTATCATCAAATATTTTCAATATAGTATCACCAAATATTAATATTGTACCACTAAATGTATATACATGCAGTATCATCAAATGTTTATAATACATTATCACCAATTATTATATGCTCATTTTTTTTCTCTGTTAAACTTAGTGTCAGAATCATTCAATATTCCCTGATATTGAACACCTTCATATTGCAAAGGATCTATTTTCTAATGTAAACAATTTTTCATGAATGAACTAAAGTAGATAATTTCATGGATGGTCACATACCAGCAAATATTTCATAGACTGACACATACAAACTGCTTTGGCACATTCAGCATTTACTTTTTTGATACACTGTTTCAGATTTAGCTAGATATAGAGGGTCGTCACAATAACATGCAAGTTATACACATAAACTGTCTTCTTTAGCTGGTAATAAAAATGGCAAAAAATATACTTACAATTTTACATCCTGAATTTCCTCAAAAAATATACTTTCTTAGGTCTTTAAATCTGAATTAGATGAGCCATGTCATGGGTTCTCAAGGTTGATTACACATGAAATTTTGTAATTTCAAGTATATTCCAAGTGCAGTTACATCTTCCTTACTTTACTAAGAAAATGTCAACACACTTCAAAATGATTAAATTGGCAGATGCAGCTGGTATCCCATGCAAGTCACTTCATGTAGATAATCCAGAACAGAATCAAAAGATTGTGTTGAATCAAAAAAAATACCAAAACATATTCATTCCAGATCAAATGGAAAAGTTGTTGCAATGTGTATTCATTAACAATATTACTCCAAATTTCAAGTAGAGCAAACACCATTTTCTTTTGAAACTTTGTACTGTTTTCTCATGTTCAGGCAATCAAGTTTCTTGAAACTTGATCAAATATTTATTATGCTGAACATATCTCTGCAGGCCATATTTACGCATCATGATTCAGTACCCTTGTTCTGAGCTCCTTGGCATCAAGATAATTCAAAATATACCAAAAGCTATTGGTATTACAGAAATGGGGGAAAGATGAAGCTCTACCATGATACCAAGTAATGCAGACTTTTTACTCACATCAATAAATACAGCTGAAAAATAATTGGGGACCAGATTTGTTTAAGGCCAAATTTGACTAGTTCCAGAACTGCAGTTTGTGTCTGGATTTTAAACTTCTGTTATTAGACCTAAAGCAAACCAGTCTGAACTGTACATGGACAGAGAGGCAATTTTACATTTAGTTGGGTAAGTTTGAGATTTGGAACAAAATGGGGCCAGAACACTGAAATCATTGATTCTTTTCACCCATCTGCTCCTCCATAGGTGATACAGCCAATCTCTTATACATCTCTTATACATCTAAACAGCTGGCAAAATGAAAAGATCTCTGAGACTGACATGTTTGGATGTTGTCAGAAGTAACCAAAGAAAGATGTTTACCATCCACCATTTTTTGGCAGACCTGAAGGATTATCTGGGGAAAATAAGTTCATTAAATAACTCCTTAAAAATGTTAACCCATGATTTAATCATAGTGCAAAATAATTGTTTTTGTTCAAGAACCTTCTATTCTGGTCCAATATAATTCAAGTATGTAAAATAAGACAACAAAAAATGTCAAGGTGCATTTTGCAAGAAACTCTTAACATGGTCCTATCATAATTGAAGCAATGTAAATTTAAGTTAAACATGATAAATTTTTCTTATCATTTTTGTAAGACTTCTCCAGTGAGCAGCTGATGTCTAAACAAATGCAGAAGCCATGGTAGACCAGTTAATGGAGCATCAGATCAGTAATCCAACTGTTGCAGGGTTCAATGTGTTTCCAGGCATGTCCTGGTTGGCTGCCTTGGTGCATCCTTGGGAAATCCCATTTGCTTGGTATGATATATCCAACATCTTAAAAGTACTGTTAAAACTAATGAAAGCCCTTGGGGGAAAAAGTTTTCATCCAAACCTGTTTTATAGTGTGATAGGTATATCCTGTAAAATTTTATTAAGTTAGAAACTAGATGTTCAATTGAACTGAACATTCAGTTAGAAACTAGATGTTCAATTGAACTGAACATTCAGTTAGAAACTAGATGTTCAATTGAACTGAACATTCAGTTAGAAACTAGATGTTCAATTGAACTGAACATTCATCAAGACAGTTCTTCAACATGTGTTGAAGTGTTCACAATATTAACTTCAATGATGTTGTGAAAATATGTGATAAATGCTAAACTTAGTAAGGAAAGAAAAACTTACAAGTACCAAAATCATTCATACAAGGTAAAAGGTGGCATGTAACTGTTATTGTTAAGCTGGATTGAGTAACCTCCCTTATTCTTCTCACACAGAGAGAGAGAGAGAGAGAGAGAGAGAGAGAGAGGGGGGCTAGAGAGAAAATAAGGAAAGAAATATACAGATAAAGAAGAGAGAGAGAGAGATGGAGGAGGGGAGAGATAGGAGGGAGAGAGAGAAAGAAATTTTGTTCCATTGTAATAACTATATTTTATGCCATCCTTATCAAATGTACACAAAAGGCTTTTAAAGTGTGATGTCCTCTTTTATCACAATATCTTACCTGTATAATGTTGCAAAACTCTTAGACCATTCAAACTAGCTCCCAAACTTCATTTTTAAACATCTGAAATAAATAAGTAAACTTCATATTACAGAGAAATGTCTTGTAATAAACACCCCTCATGTAAAACATACCCAACCAATTTTTTAAGTCTTTGGTATGACTCAGTCAGGGTTTGAACCCATGACCTCATGCATCCGAGGCAAACGCTCTAACCACTAGGTCACTGGAGTGGTTGAATACATTTGTAGTAGTGAAATGATTCATTGATTTATTGACACCTACAAAAAATGTTGCCATTTTGGCACAAAGAACGATGTCAAAGGTGCATATTTCATTCAAGACAATATTTACCTTGTTTATAATCTTCAATGAACATGAATAATTTTTAGTCATTTTCCACATTCTTTTTTACATAATAATATTACATATTAAATCCCAGCTTGCGCATCTCAATGCGCACGAGAATACATGGCATAGGTAATGGTCACTCCTATAATTTTATCCAAAATATTTGCTCTCCCTTTAAATAATCACTTCAATGTGCACATTTTTACCATTAGGAAGGTTTCCCAGGAATTTTTTATATATCATAGGGGTAAGCACGCAATAACATTACCAAATGTTTTCATTTTAATTCATAAAAATTGGGAGCGGTGAAAGTCCCACTTAAAGTTTACTGATGAAACTAATGAAGGAATAATACAATTTTCATTGACATGGTTTCAAAACAGTTAAATAAAGATAACAGATACTCCTTTTCTGACTGGTATACTATCCAAAGTAAGATAATAGCCAATTACATCAAATTTAAGCTAATAAAATTCTGTATTTTTTTTCTTCAGATTATGCTATGTAAACAGAGGAGTAAATTTATGGGTCAGATACAGTTTTCATTCCAATTTATTCATCACTTGTATAAGAAAATATCTACTACAAATCCAAAACAAAATACATGTTTGCAAAAGTGCCCAAGAAATTTTATGCAACCTCCACCCCAATCTCATCTGTAGATAATTTCTTAGACCTAAACCTAAATTTTGCAGGAAACACAATTCTGGTCCATGGATATGAAGTCTTCCAGACTTGACTTGTATTGTGCTTCTACTGGATGTTCTTAGCCAGGTGCTGGATAATTTGATCTATTTTCTATATTGCTGTTGTTTTTGTTGTAGTTTTTAATGCCATTTTTCATCACATGTTGGCCAGTATTAATGGTGGTGGAAAAACCTGGAAATTCCCTGGAAAGAATCACTGACCCATGAGAAGCTACTTGCAAGCTTTCTCACCTACCCCACATTGGCTGAATCTGAGACTCAAACTCATGCTGAGAGAGGTGAGATCATAGTGATCAGTAACAAAGAGTGCTTTAGACCACTGGGCCACTCAGGGACTCCTTTCTATGTTGGTATGTCCTTGTTTTACAATGAGTATAAAGAATCAAACTCCCTTGTCACATGTCTTATGTAGCACAATACCAGCAGTCTCCATCAACAATACATATCATAAGACTATTCCCGTGCAAAGAATACCAAAAAAAATCAAAGATCTCACCAGCCTTAGGTCAAGCCAGGTACAAAGGGTACCAGCAAAATAAATGAGCAATTATCCTTAACGATCTTAATTACATACCCAAAGGCTATATAACAAGATATTTGAGTGAGAGAGAAACAGTGCTTTAATTAACTTCCCACTGGGATGTTCTTTAAAAGGTTGCATCTAACATCAGGATTTTTTTTATTAACTTTTCTGGTTATGTGAATCACTCAATTACAATATACCAGAATATACCTTATGTGAACTAACCAACTTAACAATATGATATCAGATCATACTGAATCAGTCAATTACAGTACATCAGATTATTATCTTCTTATGTGAAGCAATTAAAGTACATCACATAATACCTTGTTATGTGAATCAATTAAAGTACATCAGATCATACCTTCCTCAAATCAAATTTACAATATTTTTGTTTCAGGATTTCTAAACTTTAAAAGCGAAAAGTTTTTAAAATTTGTGTCTTTTATGTGTCCTGTTAATAAACTGAGTGTTTATATTATGAAAAACCCTCTTTCTAAAAACAGATGCACGCGCATCAGTGTTGATTAGGTTGGAAAGGGTTTAGTTTAAATACCAACTATATAGGAGCCATGTCTGTAATTTTATGCATTTTAGTGTTATGTATGAATGGTTACAGTAATATTTTATCTGCAACAAAGAAATGAGAAGACTTGTGCATTTGCCCTCATGTACATGTTGCAAGGGTTGTGTCAAATGCGTTAAGAAATCTTTGTGCCATTATAGTGAACTTTCAAAATGTATATTAAAAAATAAATACAAAACTATTTTTAAAAAGTTGATTTATTGTACTTGATTAAGCATTTTTACCAAGTTGCAATTACAATAATGTAATCTAGCTACTCATTTAAATTTTGTTACAGTGCATTTTCTATTATTCTCTTTTAGTCAAATAGCCAAAATAACAGAAAATTTTCTATTAGAAAAAAGTATTGCTTAAACCTGATGTTAAATGCAAATGAGCATAATTCAAATAAGAAAATGCACATTATATATATTTGCGTTTCTTGCTTCGCGTCCAATTCTCTGTTCAGCTCTCACTTCTCCCTGTTCTGTCCAAAAGGAGAAGTCACTTCTTCCTAAAATTCAAGTCTAGCATGACCCCTGCACCAATTCAACAGAATCATTTCTATCAGAATAAACTCCTGTAATAATTTTCCCATGTCGTTAAACAAATTTTAGAAAATGCACCAATTTGAATATTATCAAGTCTGAATGACACCCACCAGAGGACATAATCCAAAACTCCGAAGAACCATGAACCTGGATCAATTTGTTCTTGATGACTGTGTGCACTAAATGTCTTTTATCAAATTATCTGTGACAATGAGACAAATTTGATGTGAATTATTAATGAGATTTAAATAAGCTTTTCTACTATATCAAGAAGTGCGTGCTGAGATTTAGTATTGCTTCCTTTTTGCCCCTGACTCTAAGCTATCAGCAACATCAAATTCCCATTAAGCCAAAGTTTTAATCAATGTTTGATGATTCTTTGGAATTGCAGTGAGATGGCTGAGTTGGAATATGGCCTGGTTCAATTCATGACAGTCTTTCCTACTTGACACAGCCAAAGGGCAAAATAAGGTTCTGCACAGTAAGAAATTACTGAAGCCCATGTATTTCTCACTGGACCTATGCATCTGGCAAAATGTCAGACTCTCTAGTTGATTGCTAAATTTGTGATTAAACACTATATTTTAATTAATATTGCATATATAACATGTCTTCTTTATAAGTCAGACTACTAGTTCAGTTTCCAGTTTTATTCAGTGCTGGCATCCTTATTTACAAATTGTGTCAGAAGTTCAAGTTGAAATGACTTTAGTATGTGTTAAATCCTCTCTCATGTGTAATTGTTTACTCAATGATTGGTCAAAATTTAAAAAAGTCATTAGAATGGGATAAATATTGCCCAATCAAAATGATCATTAAACGTACATTTTTTCAACAGATAAACAACACAAGTCGTTGTTTACAACTAAAATCTTTATTTTGTCACTTAATAGTAGGGCTGACAGCTCCCTTTAAGTTGAAATTTCTTGCCTAAAATTGTTTCACTCCTGGCCAAATCATACCAAAGATTTATAAAAATGGTACTAACAGCTGCCTAACTAAGCATTCAACATTAAAAGCTTAGCATCAGGACTGGTTTTCCTAGTGTCAGTATAATTTGACTGGGAGAGACATGATGTCACATGTCTGCGGCATGATACCCCTGTGCTGGATATCACTATAAACTGCCACACTGTAGACATCATAACAATAAGACTGAAAAGTTGTGAAGTTTAACCTTAAAAATCCAAATTACACACCCACATAAAACAAACCCAGACTGTTTAATCACACTAACAACCAAAATGATTTAACAGCTCCAAGTTAAAAAAAACAAAAAAAACAGTGGCACTGATGTAAACTTTAAGTTGTACATGATGAACCTAACTGCAAGAATCTTACTCAAAACAATTCTCTCAACCATATGAAATTTTGGCTCTATATCACCACACCAATAATCAATTAATCTAAAGAATTACCACAGATCTTAGACCTCAGAAATTTTAATGCTTCATTTCTCTGAGAAAATTTGGCAGATGTCACACTCTTGGGAGGTACAGAGTCGGTACTATGGTGAATAAGACTGAAGTGAAACAGTATTTTTAATCCAATCATTGCAAAATGCAGATTGCAATGATGTGATTTCCACTGTATTTTTAATGCAAACATATTTTGCAGATTGCACTGATTTGATTTCCACTTCATGTCAAAGCAAGAAACAGTTGGAATTTATTTGTTTAGCAGCCAACATGTATTGGTACAAGTTGTATCTGGGTCTAACTGATGTATATAGCACCCAATGTAATGGTGGGGAAGGGAATAGTGGTGTTAATGCTACCTATTATTCAAATAAATCTGCCCATAAACCGGTACAGACATGTTTTGGGGCTACAAATGTCCATCAGTATCATTACATGTTGGACTTCCACCCCATGTGACACTACGTGTCAATAGGATGATGTTGTTGTTGTTAATGTTGTAGGTTTATGCAGTGCTCTACGGTTTCATATTTTGCATAGGGCTAGAATTTTAAAGAAAAAAAATTTCCCTGGTTTTCCTCACTGGTTATACTAGTTATTTAAAAAAGACCTTGTATATTTTAGGCATTGTTCAAAGAATCTTTAATTCCCTTTATTTTGGTGTATATGATTGATAGGTGTAACATGGGTTATAGTGTATGCAGCTTGGCCTTACTCCAGAAGTGCACCTTTCCAAAAAGTGCTAGCTCCACTGTCTTTTTCACTTCCTGACATTCAGAGGTAAATTGTATTTAAAAAAAGAGCTAATAACCTTTTTACATTTTATATATTTGGTAACTCATTCATTGCATGTTCAGAGGCTGGTATTGTCTAGTCTGGCAAAATTCATTTTCCCCATTTTAATAGCTGCCATGGATAGTGTACTTTAGACTAATTAAGGCTGATTGTTTTAGCACAAGGGAGCAGTCATTTTAGTTAGCAATGTGCTTAGATCAGGTACAATTTCCAAAAATACAATATCTAAAGAAATTTCAGCCACATTACATTAAAGTAGCATACAGGTATGCCAACATTCTCTCCACCGTGTATGTTTTAAATGCAAACAACTTCACCTTAAAT